GAACGCTCCATTTTCGAAAAACCGCGATGAAAAAAAACTCTTGCATCGAAGTGGGTCCGGACTACCGCGGCTAGCTCTGAAGTTTAGTTATATAGCATTCGTCCGGAAACTCCGAGACCATAACAACTCCAACACTTTGAGCTGGGACTCGGAAGAAAAGGCGTATACAGCCACCGGTAAGTCCCGGGGATATGTTCAACCTCGTTCAATCCTGCACCACCGACGTTCTGTTTGCCGCGGGCGGGCCCAAGTTGGCCGCCCTGCTGATTCGAGAAAAACAAACAAGTTTCTGACTCGAGCAGTCTGCAGTTTTATTCTTCTCTCAGTGGCATCATGATAGGAGTCACGCTCAGCATCCCGTGTTCAAGGAAGGAGGAAGGAAGAGGGAGGAAGGAAAACAATGATAGACCCAATGACAGACCCAATGGCACAGTTGGTTAGTGCACCTGTTCACGCTGAAAATATCTGCATGTAAGCAGTAAGCAGGAGGCCCTCGTTCGATTCGGGGTTGGGTCACTTCATGAAAAGCCGGCGGAACTTTTTGATTTGGTCTTCACTTGAAGGCTCGATTCATTATAATCCAAAGGAGATATAGACCCACTGGCCATGGCTTGGTATGAACATGGTTGGTCAGTGCACTGCACCCACGTACTTGGAATTTCTGCCAATTTCAATTAGTATCCGGTTATAATTATTTCCCACAGAACACTTACAGCTGAAAGAAAAATGATAGACTGTTTCGATTTTAGAGCAAAGTTCGGCTAAGCAGCTCCAACACGCCAGTCACAAGCTCCGCGCAGTAGGGGAAAATTCTGTATTTATACTAGAAATCCGCTCTCTAATAATAGGTGGGAGACAGCCTACATGCCTGATTGATACCTTCAGGCAGACTTCAATCAAATTTTAGGCACTTCGCAGAGTGAAAAAAAGAATTAAAATAGTGCACATGCTCCATAATCATGCGTCGGCCCGAACTTTGCTCTAAAATCGAAGCATGTCTATCGTTTTTCTTTTAGCTGTAACGTAATTTTATAAAGAGAGAGACGCAAGACCGAAATCTAGACCAAACCTCCTTTCACGGTGTACACTGCCAGTGCACACCGGAGATTACTTAGCATAGCCTTCATTTGGCCTTTATCCTCATCGGACCTGCCGGTCTTGAGCTGAGCGACTTTCAATTAATATTAATATTGGGACCGGCCAATCATGCCGACTCGGTCAATGCAGGAGCTATCAGTCAGCTACGGTGCGAAACCTACCTAAAATAACTCACTCCGAATTTCGTTACTCCGAGTCGCACTGGTACCATGTGAGTTATGTGGAATCCAAATGGCCATTAAATAATAATAACCATTAGTAGCCCATAGTAGCCAGCCGAGGTTGATTCTTGATGGCCCCGCTGCTTCGGAGGTGCACCGAAACGCGGGGCAGATTTGTATATATACTAAGTAATAGAGAGAGGAAAGCGGCCCGGAGACTAGCCGACCAGTCTTCCCAAGCAATCCAAACTGGCATCCGAGTTCGAGTCCAGGCCGTTCAAATCCGAATCGTTGCTTACCAACTCGAGCTATCTACTGACACGACTAGAATTTCTGTGGAATTGGGGTTACAGTACTATTTCTCCTTTCCTTCTGAATGTGCATCATATTTGAATTTACTTGAACTTCAGGCCTAGGAGTTCAGGTTGAATTTACATGTATTTAGCATCGGCATTGGATATTCAAAGACGGAAGATGGATGCAAAGTAATGTCAGACCCAATGGCACAGTTGGTTAGTGTGCCTGCTAAGGCTTAATTTGCGAGTGCTTGGTAAGCAGGAGACCCTCGTTTGATTCGGGTTGGGTCATGACTCTGGAAAGAGACAATGCTTTTTATTTTATTTTATTTTTTCACTCGCTTTTTGAGTTTCAATCATTGCTTGATCTACTTGAATTGTAAGAATCTCGAAGTTCGAACCGGAGTTTACTTATTTGTGATTCAAATTATTCGATCTCATGGACCGCCACCGACCGTGACCGACGTCCCACAATGGGGCATGGTCAAATACGCGGCTACGGCTACATGTACTTACACATCGTTCCTTGACCCTCTCCGATACAGTGATCAATGTTCAAAGTCCATTCAGGTTGAATTCCCCTCACCTACGTAAGCGCGCAATGTCATCCAATACACACACGTGCAGATATACAGCAAGTGGCGGTGCATGCAGCCCGTCGAAACGAAATCCAGTCGCACAAAGGCAGGAAATCCAGTCGCACATAGCAAGTTTTGCAAGCTTCCCAAAGGAGTGCGATGATGATAAGGACAAGGACAGCTGTAGCATGAGCATGAAAAATATCATATTTTTTTGGGTTGTGTGCATGCAGAAGAGATAATTGTACGCGTCATCCCATCCCGGTGCCTCGAGGAGTAGAAAATGCCTCCTCCCAGCGTATGGAGTAGAACGCAGCGCCGGCGTCTACTCCCATCCCCGCCGGTGGCAGCGGCGTCCCAGCCCGAGGCCGCGGCGGTGGGCTCGGCGGCCCAGTCGGTGGATGCGCCGCCGGGGCGGTGTCTGCGGCCCAGTCGAGGGCGCCTGCGAGCGTGTTAGTACGAATTGTGGCTTGGAGGAAAGGGACGTACCGCCATCGGCGACAAGCCCCGGGTTGATAGCGCCAGCCGTAGGCCCGCCTCCGACGTCCCATTCCGCCGCCTGTGCGGGCTCCTCGTTGCCCTGGAGCAGAGCCGCCTTCGCCTCTGCCTCCTCCTTCTGCTGCTTCTCGACCTCCTCGGGGTCGCGGTAGAAGAACATGTCGACCATGACGCTCCAGCCGTCGCTCGTGCGGGGGATCGTGCCGCGGAGGCGCAGGACCTCGCGGGCGAGGAGCCACCAGATGAGACCAATGGAGTGGCGGGTCTTGTTGTTGGTGGGGATGGCGACGTCGACGAACTTGAGCGGGGCGTCGGTGTCGCAGAGGGCGATGACGGGGATGTTGACGTAGGAAGCCTCGCGGATGGCCTGGTGGTCGACGCGCGGGTCCGTCACCACGATTAGGCGCGGCTCCTTGAACGAGCGCGTGATGTAGTTGGTGAACGACCCGGGCGTGAAGCGGCCCGCGATGGCCTGCGCGCCGGTGTTGGCGGCGTACTTGAGCACGGCGCGGTGGCCGTACGGGCGGGCGGAGATGACGCAGACGTCGTTCGGGTTCTCGACCGCGGCGATGATACGGGCCGCGAAGACCAGCTTCTCCCAGGTCTTGCCGATGTTCAGGATGTGGATTCCTGGGTTCAGTCAGAATCCATTGCACCCACACCGAGAAAGAGTCCTCCTCACCGTCAGGACGTCTCTTCCACACATACGGCTCCATCTGCTTGTCGCAGTTTTTCGTGCCAATGTGGCATTGCGCAGCGAGCAGGAGCTGGATCTCCTCCTCAGTCGCGCTCAGCACCGCAGGTAGTTTCGAGGCCATAATTGTATAGAGTTACCTGGAGAAAAGAAAGGAAAAAAAAAGTCAGCAAAGAACATCCGGATCCCAAGCCGCGCATCCAGCTCAAATCCAGCTCGTTTGCGCTGATTCCGCAGCAAGACGACAGCAAGAGGGCAACGAGACTAACCGTGAAGCTGTAGGGGCTTCGCTGTCGGCTTGGTCGACCTTCACGGAGTTTTTGAGTGCGGAGTACGGGCGCTGGCAATTCGATGAATACTTCCCACGTGAGACTGATCCCATCATACCCGGGTCTTTCCGACGTCCATCAATTCAACTACAACAACGCCAGCAATGCACACCTCCTGCTTGTCCTTTCGCTTCCTCGTCGCCCGAACCTCGAGATGTTATAACTGCCTCGGCACATTCCCATTGCTGGCTGGCTCCGAGCCTCCGGCCGGATGCATTCTGGACCCTAGCTTGAGCTTCGGAGGAAACAATTGAATGTTGCTCGTAAGCTGCGGGGCCCACTCGAGCCCACTCGCCAAAACAGCATTGATATTCTACCAACGCCGGTCCCGCCCCGGACTCCGTTCCGCGCAGAACTCAACACATCTTCAAACGTTGACACTGCAGTCTCGATAGCGATGATATCCGTCGAACCATCACAGCGCCCACGCGTTTACACCCCTACAAACTATCAACAAGGCCCAGACCAAACCAAAGCTTGTACGTCCTTCTCGCTCTCATTTCAATGTCTTCTTCTACACTCCTCCACCGCTGCTCCCGTAATATTGATAAATTACAACCGCCGCCGTTCCGAGTCCACAAATATATTAACCTCTAATCAATCCAACCCAACCCTCGGCCCATGGCTCTACGCTGAATATCCTCGTCTTCTGCTCCCGCCCGCTCAATGCATCCTGGTTGTCTGTCCAACATCCGACATTACATCCAACATCCAACCTCCGACATCACATTCAACGCCCGACATCCGTTCGAATGTTACCTCTGGAATCGCATGGCCAAATCAACCAACCAACCCCCTCCCTCCCGATCCATCGATCGATATCCCCTTCCCTCTCCGTCGGACTCAGACTCCTGCCCCGGTCTTACACTGGCAGTATCGTATCCAAGTTAAGCTTGAGGAAGCTTATTCGACCTCTGTCCTTTGCTCCCTCCTATCATCTTATCTTCTCTCGTCTCGTCTGCCTAAACTCCATCTCTACTCCTTCTCATCCTCAACGTCTCAACTTCCCATGTCAATGTAAACCCAAACACGCCTCACGTCGTTTAATTCAATTCAATTCAATTCCGAATATCAGCTCACCATCTCTGACCTTGCACATTGACATAGAGTGAAATATCCGCGCCCCCGCTGGACTCGCACGTATGTTTCTTCCATGGCCATGGCCAGGTGTACATATCATGTCCGTGTTTCTTCTTTCTCCGAGAATACGCGTATCGAATCTACGTCTACATTCCTTCCCTCTCTTCTTCGAGCCCTGAGGCTATTACTAATATCAAACCAGAATGAATGCTGTACTGCAACCAAAAAATGCCAAAAAATGCCAAAAAAAATTTGACAAACTCGAATGACCCAACCCCGGTTCGAACGAGGGTCTTTTGCTTATGCTGTAAGCTACGGCCTAACTTCAGCAGGCGCATTAACCACTATGCCATTGGGTTGACATCACACAGTGTTCGTCGTGGTATTAACCAGAGTACAGTCGGTAGTTGTAATAAAAGAGACTTGAGCGGGCGCCCCAAAAACCAGAAAAACAAAAAATAACAGAACAATAAGAAAATGACCCAACCCCGGTTCGAACGAAGGTCTCCTGCTTATTCAACTATTTGCTGGTTAATCTAAACAGGTGCATTAACCACTATGCCATTGGGTCGACATCATAGAGTATTCGTCGTGGTATTAACCAGAGTACGGACGGTAATAAAAGAGACTTGAGTCGGCGTCCCAAAAACCAGAAAAACGAAAAAAAAAAAATGAGGAAACAAAGAAAGAATGACCCAACCCCGATTCGAACAAGGGTCTCCTGCTTGCGCAAGGTTGAGTGGACAACTTTGAGCAGGCGCACTAACCGCTGTACCATTGGGTCGACATTGCATAGCATTCGTCGTCGCATTAACAAGAGTACGGTTGGTAATTGTTACAGTAATAAAAGAGGGCGCCAAAAAACCAGAAAAACAAAAATAACAGAACACCGAGAGAATGACCCAACCCCGATTCGAACGAGGGTCTCCTGCCACATGATATTAAAGCGGTTTTATTTGAAGCAGGTGCATTAACCACTGTGCCATTGGATCGACATTACATAGCATTCGTCGTCGCATTAATAAGAGTATAGTCGGTAATTGTTTGAACGGGACTGTTTGTGAGTCTAAATTCAACTGAAGGCCTAGGCGGAAAAGATTCTTCTACTTAACAGAAGTGATCTGTTAATATTCAAGATCTTCCATTCAAAGGGAATATTACCTATGTCAAATTCATCGAGTCCAGTTTGATCTAGACTTGAGCAAAAAGAAAAAAAGGGAAAAAGAACAGAAGTTCAATTATGACCCAACCCCGATTCGAACGAGGGTCTCCCGCTTACACAGGCTTTTGACATTGGTCAACTTCAGCAGGCGCACTAACCACTATGCCACTGGATCAACACATTCCTGTCTTCTTGACTTGTGGTAGCATACTCTAGGTTCAATTCAACACGGGAAAAAAATTTGACCGACCAGAATGTGACCCAACCTCTCTCCTCCTCCTCTCAAATTCATTCCAGTTTGAGCCACAATTCCAGCCAACAGAAATCAAATCCCTAACCAAGTAAGTCGAAAGACAAACGAACGAAGTACTGTAAAACAAAATAAATATACAAAAAACAAAATCAACCAATCAGCGCTTATGACCCAACCCCGGTTCGAACGAGGGACTCCTGCCATACCATAGCAAACTACGATTTAGAGCAGGCACACTAACCAACTGTACCACTGGGTCAACACCTCCCTGTCTACTTAGCCTGTGGTAGCATACATAGGTTCAATTCAACTTTGTGGTCAGGTTGCGACTTCAACTCGGGGGAAAGGATCAAAAAACCAGAATATAACTCAACCTAGTCTCCTCCTCCTCCTCCTCACAAGTTCGTTCCTCATTCTCATCACAATAACAGAAAGCGGCCTCCAATCCCTAACCAAGCAAGTCGAAAGACAGAAAGACGAGCGAGGTACTGTAAAACAAAACAAAAAATACAAAAAAACAAGTACCCCGAGATTAGGACCCAACCCCGGTTCGAAGGAGGGACTCCTGCTTAAGAGGAACATCTTTGGATGACTTTGAGCAGGCGCAGTAACCACTATGCCATTAGGTCGACATCACATAGCATTCGTCGTCGCATTAACACAAGTACGGTCGGTGATTGTTTGAACGGGACTGTTTGTGGGTCCAAATTCAACTGAAGGCCTAGGCGGAAACGATTCTTCTAACAAAAGGGATCTGTTAATATTCAAGATCGGGAATATTACCTATGTCAAATTCATTAAGTCCAGTCTGATCTAGACTTGAGGCCAAAAGAAAAGAAAAGAAGAAAAAAAGAAGAAAAGAAAGAAGAAAAGAAAGAAAAAAACATCCGGAGGCATATATACGACCCAACCCCGATTCGAACGAGGGACTCCTGCTTCACAGCTGCAAAACTATCTAATTTGGAGTAGACGCACTAACCAACTGTGCCATTGGGTCAACGTTCTGCTTCGCTTGCTTCTCAGGACATGATGAATCTTGAATTCCTCCGAGGAACTTCCGAACATACTTAGTTCGATATTAACACGACAGGCTGGTTATGCATGACCTGGATTGCTGGATAAGATAAATTCAGCGCGAACTGGACGTGCGCGGCACGCACATATTAAGGTCGAATTGAAGTTGAACGTGTTGGGACTTACTAGTGGCTGTGTCCCCTCTCCCCGTCTCTCAGCAAACTCGGAGTCGGAATTGACCTTATACAGTACAACTTCAATATCCCGACCGGTGCTTTCTCGAACTGAGGTCTGAGGCTGGACTATCTGTAAAGGTAAAGTGGTCGAGATATACAGATCGTTATATATGGTGTCCTCTTTGACGACGGCGAATCGTTCCTTATCCTTGGACCACCGAGAACCGGGAGTATGTACTCAAAAAGGTGCAGAGTAGTTGCATCGCTTTTCCCACTCATACTCTCGAACGACCTGCCCCAGGCCTGTATGACATCCGCACGAGCGGCGGGCCAAAGTTTCCTGACTTTCAAAATTCACAAGCATGAACGCATGCTCTCAGCTTCTGGCGCGACCGGCATTACTCACTTTGAAGGACTCCGATTATTCATTGTGTCGATACCCGAGGGCTGGTCTCCTCCCTGGCCCTGGAAAGACACTGGCTCGGATGAGAATCCGAGTGACTTCGAAGACAGCGCCAGTGTTCTGCCGTTGATAAGTGTATGCCATTTACCGCGCGGCTGCTTTCAACTTCAGTAATATTCCAGTCGGGGCGCCTCGTTGCAACAAAAGAAATGTGAGACAAAAGAAAACAAAAAAACTAATTCACCCTGCCGATTGCCAAGTTTTAGGTGTCATGAGACTTTTCTTGAAACGTAAAATTTCGAGTTGAAAAAAAAGTGAGGATTGTGCTGCGGGTTTTTTCTTTATTTTTCTGTCCCCTCTGTGATGGCGACTAGAAGAATGTCGTCGATGTGTTCTTTCCTTCTTCGCCAAGGGTTGTCTTGCACAAACGAACCAAACGGATGCCTATCTTCTGTCTCACATTCAAACATTAGCAATAAGGGCGAAGCGGATGGATCTGAATGTTAGAACTAAGAATAAGTCTACAAGAAGTCGCATCTCCAGAACGGCGCGCGGTTTCGGGCACCTGTTCCAACCATCAGCAAACTCCAATAAAATAGCGTTCATTCGAGAGACAATTTGTTACCGATTAAAGCCACTTATCCGCTCTCATCAATAGGCGCTCCTGCTCATCGCACGTAGCGGCATATTTTTCCTCGTAATCGTCTGGGAACTCCTCAACCACAGGCTCGATGCTCGAACGCCGCTTGAGGAAGTCGTCCGGGCCGGTAAAGTCCCCGCCGTAGCGCACGAGGACAGTCTCCACGAGGGTGATGCAGTAGTACTCGCCCCCAGCCTCGAATAAAACGCAGGGCTCACAAAGGGGCTTGAATGCGATCGGCCGTACGGTCCCGCGGATGCCGAAGACGCGTTTGACGTGAAAGTCAATCTCGGTGAGGTCGTGCCAGTGGCTCGGGACTTTAAAAAAGCACTCGGGCGAGCCCGAGTAGGTGTCCTCCCAGTCGGTGGAGTATGGGGCGATGTCGAGGGTGGTGCGGTGGAAGTCGGCGTAGACGGGTTTGCGACTTGGACTTGAGGTGGGGAGTTCTTTGACCTAGAAACTACGGGTGAGGAGTTATTTAACCTGGGTCGAGCGATGAAGGTCGAGGCTTACCGGCTCGCCGGGCTCTGGAGCCTGGAGTCCCGGACCGGCGAGGACGAATCGCTCAGCCTGGGGCCGTAACTGGGTGCGTCTGCGGTAAAGGCGACGAAGGTGAATAGACAGAAAGGGACGGCCACACGCAGCCCTCGCAGAAAGTACCAGGTTGGGAAGACGGCGCAGAGCGTACATGATAGGAGTCTTTGGCACTCCGCTGATCACATCACGTTGCCCCTTCCCTCCCTACACATTCTTCAATATTCGCTCTAAGTCAACTCCTCCCAAGTTCGCTTATCTCGACAAATATCTCGAGGCAAGCAGAGGCGTTCCATTCGTGATGGTACATGTCGATCGCAAACGCCTCGCGCGAGTAAGTATGGGTCGTTAAATCGTGATTTATCATTTGGCCTTTTGAGACCTCGGAAATTTCAAGACCATTGGGGAATTTGGCGCGTCGACGTGTATTTCGGCTTCTTACTGCGTTCGCTCCCTTTTCTCAACAGTACCGGTGAACCCGCAAAAGCTGGCGGACTGCCTCAACGGTGGCCGGCGAAATTACCATGGCATTCTGGCTCAATTCTGGCTCGAGCTTCGCAGATAATCGGATGTTTGCTCCGAGTCGTAAGCCATGGGCTCATAACCGTCCGGAGCCCTGGCATTCTACCCCGCTGGCCAGTCCAATGATACGCACCTACAAGCCTCGATGCTAGTGATATCGAACCACTGCACAGCGCGCGCATTTATACCCCTACAAATTGTCAACAAGCCCATGAACAGTTCGGGACATAACATAATTCAACACTGGCAGACGCCCGGTCGTTCCGAGTCCACACTGCGGCATATTAACCTCGTATGAAGCTAATCAAGCGGCGAGTCGTCCTCCGCTCCCTGGCACCTCAGACTTGCGCGTACCACCCGCCCACTCGATGCATTTCTTATTTGTTTGTCCAATGATGCATTTCTTGTTTCTTTGACCAACATTCGACATCCGTTAGAGTCTTGCCTCCGAGTAGCTCCGAGTCCCAAATCAACTTTCGATGCACCCCCTTCCTTCAAATTCTGTCCTGCAGTGCCCCGGTCTTACAGTATCCAAGTTATCCGACCTCGCACCGTCTTGTCTTGTCTGCCTAAAACCCCATTTCTCAGGCTAATACTCATTTTCAACTTCCCATTCGTACACATCAATATCCAAACACCCAAAGTTGTTCAATTCTATTCTGTACATCAACATTCCTGTCTTTGTCAGTACCATGCCGCCCTCGCCACTGGGTCCACAGTACTAGTAAGTACGTGTTTCTTCCGGCTGTCTGTTGTCCGCTGTTGCGTGTACATATGGTGTCCGTGTTTATTCTTTCTCCGAGAATACATGTATCGAATCAAATCTATGTCTACGTTCATTCTCTCCCTTCTCGAGCCCTAATTAATATCAAAAAACTGAATAGAAGCTCCAAAGTATCCTCAAGAAAAGAAAAGGAAATGCAAAAAGAAGAAAAAATTAGCTCACGGCCTATAACCCAACCCCGGTTCGAACGAGGGCCTCCTACCGAGGACAAACAATTGTTGAATATAAGCACAAGCAGGCGCATTAACCACTGTGCCATTGGGTCCATGCTTTTTCATCTTCTCAACTCGTTGTAGTACACGTAGCTGTCAGGAAGGAGGTCTAAAAGTTGGGAACCTGAACAAAAAAACTCCTTGGGTGGGCATGATCCAACCCCGGTTCGAGCGAGGGCCTCCTACTTATGAAGGACTTGCCAATGGAATCTAAGCAGGTGCATTAACCAACTGTGCCATTGGATCATTGCAGGCTTTTTGTCTACTTAGTCTATTGTAGCATATGTTTTATTCAACTTGGGGAAAAAATATTGACAGACCAGAGTATTGACTCAACCTAGCCTCCTCCTCCTCTCAAGTCGAGTTCATTCCAGTCCAGTCCAGTCACAATAGGAAATCTCGCACTTCAAGTTCTAAACAATTCCAACAAAATAGGAAGAATAACAAAAAGAAGAAGAAAATCCAAGAGTTCTGGGTCCAAGATGACCCAACCCCGGTTCAAACGAGGGACTCCTCTTTACTCGAATGAAAACCAACCACACATTTTCAACAGATACACTAACCGCTGTGCCATTGGGTCGAAGGCTTTCAGTTTCAAGTTGGATTGCGAATAATATTTCGAGTCAAGACTCAAGAAGATCGTCAGCGATTCCTAGTCCCTACATAGGAAAATAAGAAATACGTAGATCGCGGCAATTTCAGTAATACTTGGAAATCTCAGTAACATCAATTGCTAGAAATAAATTTCAACTTCCAACCCCACCGCTGAGCCCAGTCCGAAACGCAAATCCGTGACCAAAGCAAATATTATACGAATTAAGTTGTATTTATGTATTCGCAGCCACCTTATCCCCATCAGGATTCCACGGACCCACATCACTAAGCGAGCACCCACCCGTGCACTCACACCGCCCACCAAATTCCTTGGGCAAACAACCGTCATCGACCTGCGCGCGCAGCCCGGGCTCATACTCCTTCGGCCCCCCAAGGATATGTACCTTCCCCACCGTGACCTCGTCCAGCCACGGCTTCACCGCGCCCCACACAGTCGAGAACCCCATCGGTGCATGCACAACGTAGAACGCGCCCATGCACTCGGGGTAATAGTTCTGCCCGATGTGCGTCGCGGCGGCGACGTAGTCCTTGACGCGGAGGAAGGTGGAGAGCGAGACGCCGCCGAGGTCGAGGATGCTGAGGGACGTCTCGACGGGGTGCCCGACGGCGGCGGAGCAGGCGGGGAGCCGCGAGGTGAGGAAGACCTCGTATTCGACGACGAGGTTCTGGAGGAGGCGTTCTTGTGTGGTGCAGGCGTACATGGCTTTGACGTCGAGGTCGCCGAGGCGCTGGATGTAGATGGGACGCCCGGACTGAATAGTATTTTAGCCTTGCGAAAACGGGGAATCACGGTAGAAGCACTTTGTCCATGTTCTACGAAAGAAACTCAGCTCGAGTCAGTGATTTTTCTTTTTCGCATAAAACACCTACATGATAATATTGCGGTAGGTACTTGTCGACCTCGGCCCTTTCGGCGAAGTCGAATGTCCTGGGCGCGCCAAGATATGAGTTAATTATATTATAAGCAGTGAGCGACGCTACCCACTTGACTAGCTCTTCGACGCCAAACTCCTTCTGCCATTTCTCGGCGGCGAGGAGCATCTCCTTTGCCTTCGCCACGTCAAATTTCCGCGCGCGGAGGAATCTGGGACATTGTCAGTGCGAATGTGAATGACGGCATGAAGGAAACGAGAAGAGAAGAGATTATTTTCCCAAGGTCCTCAGTGCATAGGCATAAACTCTGCGCGTCCGCTCGCTCTCTGTGCACGGTACTAGTGGACCAACGCACCGTAGCAACGTCGCGTCATCATGCCGCGCCTCGACAAACGCCCCCTCAGCGCGTAACTCCTCAGAAATCTTCGCGAGTGCGGCCTCCTGTTCCGGCGTGAGATTTCCCAGGTGACCTGTTGGTGGCGTGTAAGTCGATTTCGTTTGCGATGCCTGCTTTTCGACAGTGTCTGCAGTCATCGTGGATCTCTAGTAGATATTTATCGGTGTTTGAGGCAAGGGAGAGAGGACTGTGGGCTTGAAGAGTTGGAACGTGCGTCATTGCTCACGTTGGAGTAGCTTTATTTGAGGCGCTCCGTTCAGAGCACAGTTATAACCAGTGTTTCCCTAACAGGGCTTTCAAGCATTCTGCAGCTGTACTTGTCGTCGGTACACCAGGGTCCAGAGAGCTATCCAGAGTGCCTGTACTTGCTGTGAGTTGCTGTGAGATGCGGCAGACAAAGCCCGGACCGGCACGGAATCGTGATCTACGAGTAATATGTAGCTTGACTTGACTCGGAGCGTGCCAACGTGCTGGATCCTTCGAGAGGTCGATCTTCTTTCACTTGCTGCCGCGGTAACCGTATTGCAGCGTTCAAGAGTGATTTGAATTGTTTGTTTCTGAGGCGCCTCGTCGGATCATGCGGCCCGCCTCGCCGCTCGCTCTGATTGGATGAGATCGCTACTGACGTGATGCCTATTCCAACCTTGCCTTGACCTTACCACTCCTTTTCATCCAAATATTTTCAATGGCCATTGGACCGTTCCCCGTCGATTCGAATATCCGGATACCTTATCTCTCTCACAAAAGACTGTGTTCCGTTCCCTCAGGAGCCAGAATCTGGGGATTTTGGGCTCGACATGCAGCTAGTGGCTGGTGAATTCGGAAATGACTTGTTGGAACTGGGCAACACTGTTTCAGAGGCTCGACGTACTTAACGGCGGTTTGCAAACCCATGATGCCTTTCTGTCTCTACCTCACCTTCAATTGGCGTCCAGTGCTGTGCATCGCCCGACAAGAACGGTCACGGTTCTCACACAAACGCGGCTTCGACGGGACTCCACCTCAGAATGGGGACTGCACGGAAATGAATGTGCCGGTACGTATAGTGCACGTCCCCTCTTTTTTCGTTAAAGGAAATGAATATTGAATAAAACACAGCCCACGAACGATGCAGAGTTTTGCCGGTTGTAAGCGCTGGGGTCGATTATTCCAAGATCCGGCCGAATGAGAAGGTACGTCTCCGTATACATCGTGGCGAGCTCTTACCGACCTGGTTGAGTCGTTATCGTGAACCTAAACATGAGGGCTTCCGCCGCTCATCGTGACCGAGCTCTGAGCGACTTGGGTGAGTCGTTATCGTGCACCTACACATGAGGGTTTTCACCGCTCATCGTGGCTGAGCTCTGACCGACCTGGGCGAGTCGTTATCTGTTGCAACGTGCACCTAGCTTCTGCCGCTTTAATGGAGGCATTTGTGCAGACAACTGAATGCAGCTTGTGGATCTTTTAGAAGAGTCTTTCCTATCGGCTGGTTATCAATGCAAGGACGGGCTGCGATCCATTCACCATGCTCCGTTCGCCGCGGTCAACTGAGCGCCGTCCTTTTCTTGTCATGGAAATAACTTTGTTAATCAAGATATCCAGGACGCGGCAACACGGACACGATCATCGGGCTCGATCGGTTTCGGAGGTATGTCTACGTGCACATTGCGGCCAGCCTCCGACCAACTCGACTAGCATACAACTTGGCGAGTCGAGATCTGGCGCGCACCGACGCGTTGGCATCAGTTATGCTTGTCAGCTCGCGCCGCTTAAACGGCCCACCCATTCACGCTGCCAACGGGCACCATGCGGTTTCGAGCTGTCTTTCCTACTTGCTACTTATCAGCACAAGACCTCTTGAAGAAATGACATGACATTTGAAGGTCTTTCTCATTCGCTCCGCAACAGGGCATAACCTCCGGCACTCGATCGACAACTATTCCCCCATGGGCGCGAAGCCCGATCGCGAACGCTACGCATACATATGTTTTTCTCGTCTGCCCATGAAATGATAGATACAGGTCCTGACTACAGCGACTGCGACATCATCGCGATTGTTATTTAGGCCAAGAGATATGCCAGAAATTCCACGCGTACAGTCACGGGCGTAGTCTGACCAAGCTCGACGAATCAATGATAAGTAGACCTCATATGATCAACATATGATACCGAAGCCATTGACCGCCGCTCTAGTACCCCAGCGAACAATGCATTACAAGCCTTAACGATCTCATCCAAACATTGCCAGATCCTCCGCAGCCCAAAAACGACCACTGTAATTTTTGGGAAACGAACGCAACTCTTGTCTCGATTAACTTACCCCAGCCTCAACATCCACTGCGGCCGGTCAGGCACCGACGCTTGTACTGCCCACTTATCAGCTCGCCGTTCTACCGCCTCCGCAGCGCCTGCCTCGACTTGGCTTAACCTCAAGCCTCAATTGCTTCTAGCTTCTCATGGTTGGGTTACCCTGGGCTGCACCGCTGGCCGGTATCCTTTCTCCGAGACCCGGACCACATTCATATCGCACTGCTCGGACGCAACACTTCATCCTTCAGTTCATATCAGCGCACCGCGAGGTAGAGCGATTTTAATATTTATTGCCCCTCGGAACCGCCACTGGCTCTGCCGCCGCACACGATCACCACTGGGCACGCATACAGATAATTAAATTGCGATTTGCGATTTCCGACTGCAGCCGCCTGGCGCCGACACACGTTCCCGCCGAGTTTCTCCGGATTGCTTGTAGTGTCATCGACTCAATTGCACGTTCATTCGGTATTCATTGGTGCCACATGTTTTTTGCATGTCTGGACCCACTCTTAATTTCTCGAGCACAGCCATACATGGACGGTTTACGCCCGTCGGATCTTAACTGCGCTGTGATTCTTCTGTGTCATGTACTGCCCCAGTGGAACCGGATTCAAGAACGATTGATATGTATGGATATGGATAAAGTTCGGGCTGCGCGGATTATTGAGTATCAATGGAATGTACGTTTCTGCACGTTTTAAATGCACGTCCTCACCCTCGAGATCTCGCGGCGGTAAACCGGGCGTGTACTCGGACTGGAACCTCGACAGAGCCTCGGTAGCCGATTTTTTTTCTGGTTGGAGCTCCGGCCAACTCGACACTGGTAATCATCTTCAAGGCGTCTACGTCGTCGAGAATGAAAACAGAGTTGAA